AGAACATTAGTTTTACATTCATTCTATCGTATATCGTCTCATTGCCATGGTTACAATCCCCTCCATGCAATCCTTCCCCCGTGCCCCCCAGGTCTTCAGCACACAGTCGCTATCCCTTTATACGGTCTTCCTTATTCACTGTCCGACTTTCGCATGAGTATGAGGTTACTGAAAATACCATGATTGGGTCAGGCGCACCTTAGTCCTCAAGCTGACATCTTTGCTCTTCAACACTTTAAAAAGGTCTGTGCGGCAGATCTGCCTAATGTAATACGTCATTTGATTTCTTGACTGCTGCTTCCATGAGTGTTGATAGTCCTCAAGTATTACCATGTTTCATCTAACAGGCTTCTATACCATATCCACACAGAAAATGATCTCTAAATTTTCTTAGAATAGTCTCTTAGTATCAAAATTCTTTTGTTTCTTGCATTTCATTCTCTCTCACCTTTCCCTTTGGTTCTAAAATACATTTTTTTTTTTTACTCAACTTTAGAAATCAGATAAATCTATTAATTTATCAAAAGCAGGAGGGAATATGATATTACCTAATTGTTGAAACTTTTCATCCACTTGTAACACTAAGGAAGAATGATGCAGAAGTCAAGAAAAAAATATATATGAGCATGTTTCCAGCAAGTACACTAATGATAGGGCACAGAAGAGCTCTAAGCCCTCAGGTCTGCACTTTGTTTCTTCTATGCTTAAAATGGTACACAGAATAACTGAGTTTCCTAAAATAACAAGAACAAAGCCAAAGAACACAATCCACACCACTGTAACCACTCTTTCCCATCCTCTCTGAATCCAACACTTCACAGGTATTACTCACCTGGTCCAGTGGCTTTTGGTCTTTGCTTAGAGACAATGGAGGCTTTACTGGATCATTTCCTGCATCATCCAAGGACCGTGAGGGAATTAGGTTTTCTAGCTGAACACTGGACTTATTGTTATCCTGCAGTCTCTCCTCCTTCACTCGAGGAATACTGCATTTACCTTCAACTTCATTAGAGGGATCCACGTGTCTTGGTTGAGTCTTCCCAACTAAGGCGTCACTCTCTGAGTCCCTCCTTTCTGCAGGTAAGATGTTGATGTTTACTCTGCTGACTGTGGCTAGTGACTTGGCAGTATTGCTCATGTCTGGTTTACAGGGATGGCCTTTCAAACTGGCATGTGTCTTCAATGGGTCAACAACTAGGGGTTTCTCATGGGGCAAACAGTTGTCTTCTCCCTGAATGAAAACATGCTTCCAAGTTATTACAGATGCCTTGCACCATATACAAGAGTTCACTTAAAATGAATGAAGACCTAAATCTAAGAGCTAAAATTCTCAGAAGAAAACATGTTTATACATGTTTTAAGTAATGTGCAACAAATCTTTATTACACTCCCTTATGATCATGGGTTGGGCAATGGATTCTTAGGGATGACACCAAAAGTACAAACAACAAAAGAAACACAGATAAACTGGACTTCATCAGAAGCAAAAGCTTACCGCCCTAAAATAATCTTGAAACTGTAAACCAAGCATGTCCCCTGAAGTCTTCTTTAAACCAAACAGCAATTTAACTTCATTGATAAAGAATGTCTGCCTTGAGCATAGTGCTCTTTTAAGAACTATCTGTAAGGGATTTTTTTTTTTTTTTAAATGTGGGACCAAACTAACAACAGCAACTCAAAAAATTAAAAAATTAATGTAGAAGGCATTGCATTTATGTTAATGGGGGAGGAACAATTCAGAAAAAAAGAGGGTGAAAATAGTTGTACAATTCAAAGAATGTAATTAACGTCACTGAAGTGGACACATAGAAATGGCTAAGCTAGGGTACGTTCTGCCGTGTATCTTCCCAACAGCAACAAAATTATTTTAAAAAACAACTTTTGTGCTCCAAAGAACACTGCTAAGAGAGTAAAAAACTTACAAAATAGGAGAAAATATTTACAAGTCATATGTTCAATAAGGGATTAATATCCAGAATATATAAAGAACTCTTGTAACTCAACAATAAAAAGATGTCTCAATTTAAAAATGGACAAAGGACTTGAATAGACATTTTTCCAAAGGTATACAAGTGTCCAGCAAGTACAGTACTTTATACCTGCTGATCACAGTCATGGTCAATAACACTGGTGAAGATATGGAGAAACCGGAACCCTTACACATTGTTGGTGGTAACGTAAAATGATTCAGTACTACAGAAAAGCTTGGCAATTTCTCAAAAAGTTAAACAGAATTACCATGTTGTTGTTAAGCACAGTTGAGTCAGTTCTGATTCACAGCGACCCTGTATAGGGTTTCTGACAAACCCACCAACTTCATGGCTAGCAGTCCAGTACTTACTGATCTTACAGTGCCACAATTGTTGTTGTTATGTGCCGTCGTGTCAGTTCCGACCCATAGCAACCCTGAACAGGGTTTCCAAGGCTGTAAATCTTTACGGGAGCAGAAAGCCTCATCTTTCTCCCGCGGAGCAGCTGGTAGTTTCGAACTGCTGACCTTGCGGTTCGCAGCCCGATTCATAACCACTACGCAATAGGACTCCAGAATTACTATATGACCCAGCAAGTTCACTCCTAGGAGTATTTCCAAAGGAACTGAAAACAGGCACTTGTACTCAAAAGTTCATAGCAGAGCTAGTCAAAATGTACAAACAGTTCAACTGTCCATCAATGAATAAATGGACACACTGTGGTGTATACACAACCATAAAAGAGGATGAAGTACAGACAAGTGCTACAAAGTATAAATGAACCTTAAAAAATTTTTGCTACATTAAATGTTAGGTATAATCAGACAAATATTGTATGATTCCATTTACAGGAAATACTCAGAATAGGTAAATTCATAGAGACAGAAAGAAGACTGGTGGTTGCCAGGGGCTGAGGGGAGGAGGAAATGGGGAGCAACTGATAAATGAGTATGGAGTTTATTTGGGAATGATAAAAGTGTTTTGGAACAAATTGAAGCGGTAACTGACAACACTGTGAATGTACCAAACACTATTGAATTGTTCACTTTTAAATGATTAATTTTATGCTACAGGAATTTCACCCCAATTAAAAAAAAGTCATGAGCAGTTTGACAGCCCAAATGCATCATCTCTACCAGTATTCTTTCTTTACAATACATAATTAATTACAAAACAGAATCTTTAGTAAAACGCAATCATTTCACATAAAATAACTTTCTTAGCTAGCCTATCATTTTGATAATTTCTAAAACACGTACCCTTTAAAAAGAAACGTACCATCATATGCGTCTTAGATCCATCAGAGGAGTGTGGTTGGGGTGCAATTACCTCATGATTTGATTCAGCCTTTCTGGAAACCACTGGAACATGTTTGGATTTAGACTCACCATTTTTAACATTATTTTTGGAGGTTTTTCTAAATGAGGAAAAAAAAGAAGAAAAAGTGACCATCAAATACAGTGATGAAAGGTTTTTAAATAATGTGCAAAAAATCTTGATTATACTCCCTTATGGAACTACTCTATTTACAGAAAAATAGCCTTCTGAAAATCTAAGGGACATTCTACAAAATAAGTGACCAGAATTCCTCAAAAATGTCAAGGTCATGATAAATAAGGAAAGGCTGAAAAACTGTCACAGACCCAAAGAAACTAAGGAGATGTGACGACTAAATGTAATTCAGTGCACTGAAATGGCTCCTAGTATAGAAGAAGGATTTTAGTAGAACAACTGGAAGCCAAGTATGGAGTTTAGTTTTCTGAGTTTTGACAAATGTACTACGGTAATATATGATGCTGACAATAGGGGAAACTGGACAAGGGATATAAAGGAACTCTGTATTATCTTTATAACTTTTCTAATGATTTAAAATTAGAATTTTATTATTGAAAAAATATATGGAAAATTGCCTCATATAAAAGAATGACCAGGAGGAAGAACAAACATGATGGCGGATTGGGTGGAAATGCAGTAAAGGAGCTCCGCCAACAACAACACAGAATACCCGACCAAGCAGGCTTAGGGGCTGGTCCCAGAACTCTGAACCACATATGAAGGAATATTTAGAAGGCTGGAAGGCTTACAACTGGGGGAATTTGTGGCAGAAGCAAGAAATCTATCACTTTCTAGTCCAGGACGCTTGGCTGCTCCAGGAGCCACCATCTTGGGTGA